ACCCTATAGTGACCCACGAGTCTATGTATTGATCCTGAAGGGTCAGTCTGTACACCAGCCAGTGACCTCTCCCTTCTGCAGCTTCTCCACAATGGATGTCCACCATACTTCAGCCTCCGGTGCCTAGACTGCAGCTCTGTACAGGAAGTTTGGCCAGAGGAGAAATGGTCATGCCCAACTGAGCCTGGTTTGAGGTTATTCTTCACCTTTACTTTGGTCGGTTGGTAAACTGGCTTGCTTGGTTTGGGGCTTGTGTAGTTGAGCATGGATGGATTTTTTCCTTCATTGTTTGGACTTTCAGCAGTGAAAATTAAACAACGAAATTAATCTCTGAAAACAGACCTGATTTAAAGCTCTCATGTGAAAATGAAGCATGCACATCCACAAAGATCCTTAGGCCGAACAGTTATAGTAGATAGAAGTTTGTATGAATGTTCAAGAAACTGAAGCAGATAAGGGAGATTCCACAGAAGGAAGAATTAATTTATGAAATGAGTGAACAAGTCGTTGAGAGATTTCCAAGGTAAGCCATATGCCCGGAGCACTGAGGTGCCCTAAGAGCTGATTTAATGTGAATAAACCTCAAAGCAGCTGCCTCGCAAATTATATTGAGTTTTAAGGTTCTGGACACATTTTTAACCAGTCATCAGATATCTCCCAAAGGGTTAACTTTATGAGACACTGCAAATGACATCAAGTACTGTCTGACAAATACATTTAGGAAATAGGTGTACTGTCTCTGCCATTGTGTAGTTGTTAATGTCTACAATCGCGCTATGTGGAGAGAAAAAAAAAATTCACAATAGAACCAAACTGATTTATTGCTTAAGTGAGAGCCTTAAAGTGAGCACTTTTGTTTGTGAAAGGATTCTCACTACCAAAAGGAATTCTTGATACGAGATGTTTATTTAATTTTGAGATTTTTGAAGAGGAAACTGGAACCAGTAAAGTTGAAATATTTATAGGTGAAGAGGTTCCAATATTCCCATGAAATTGAGATTGTAAAAGAGAAGTGTGGTTACTTTTACTGAGAGGTTCTGGAGTTAGATGTTCTAGGAGTTAGGGAAGATCTTTTAAACCAGCCATGTACACTACAGATGTTCTGGAGAAGGCATGTAGGGTTTTTCTGAAAAGTTCTGGGTTACAAGTTATAGAAGAATAAATATTTTAAATCTTTCCATGGAAATAATGGATCTTAAAGAAAGGGAAAATCTGGTCATTCTGAAAAGTTGTAGGGTTATAATTTGAGATTTGGTGTTTTAAAGTGTCCCTATGGAAGTACTAATCTTACTCCTTAACCTTAATCCTAGTAAATTCTGAAATTTTGAAAAGTTCTTGAATGACTGGTGTAGGTGGTGTTGATGCACAATGTGCTGTTGCGTGGAGGTGCTAATCACCAGTAGAAGACTGGGCTTCATTTAAGGCCATTCACCCAAGGCCACCGTCCCTGCGTGCTGTCCAAGTGGACCCAGGGGGGCTGAATACTTACCACTCCCCCAAGTGACCTTTTGTTAACACCGCAAGGTTGCCCAGGTCACCCGAGAAGAGTCTGAAGATGTTTCTCTATGAGGCCTACTCTGGCTAATCCAGAGACCAGGCTCCCCAGGACCCCAGATAACTCCAGGGAACAGGAGAGCCCTTGCCCAAATCAGCTGAATCTAACAGGTAGATTCAGGAGTAAAAATTGGCCATGAACTGGTCATTGCCTTCTCCTCACTCCCTGCTGATTTGCTCCAGAATACTTAGTCAACATCCAAGGAGGTCCTTAAATCCAATTTGACCAAAATAAAATTCGCCAGAATGTGACTAGAAGCATTCAGAGAGATACTCCTGACCTCTCACTAATTACGAGAAATTATAAGATTTAAGAGGTCAGGTCGAGGTTCAGTCTGGCGGATATATCTATGTAGATATATCATGCTTCTACCAAACATCTCCCCTAAGGCAATGCAAGAACCATGCAGACATCATCCTTATCAGGGATAACCGTTGGGAGCATTACCCTGAAGATCAAGCAACCCTGGTCCATTGACTAGGTGTTGAGACACAGCATTTCGGCAATGGTGATGACCATTTGTTTGTTTGTGTTTTTCTTTGTTCTTGTTTGTATATTTTTATTCAGAATTTGATTATCTGATGTCTAGGTTGTTTTTCCATACTTTGATTATCATATTTAAGCTTATGAAGCCCTTTAAAATCGTGTTTTATTAGAGAATAGACCATATGCAAATGACTCATTAGTATTCGTGTTTTTTGACCAATCCTGTGTGTCCTCAGCTGAGTGTGCTTTCGGTCAGGTTTAATCCTTTATATCTCGGCCGTTTTTTAATGTTTTGGTTTAATTTTTTCTGCATTTTAGTCAGTTTGTTGTGTAGAATAAGTGTTGAGCAAATAAACTGGCATTACTGATCAAAAATATTTTTGTGAGGTTACCGTTTATGAGGAGTACAGCTGATTTAGTGTGGTAATTCACAATCTGTTTTTACAGGCTAATGTCTCCTTTCAGGCAAACTGATTTATGCAGTTTATTGGAGATGATAGAGTTGAAATGGTCATGTCAATGATATTAATAACACACACATCTCAGTTGTGTGCTTTGATTAGGATGATCCAACAGTGAACAAACAGTATACATAAAAAAATAGAGAAAGAAAAAATACAAAGACAGTCCAGCAGTAAAAACTTAAGATCAGCCTGGCAAGGTGTGAACACAATGGCTGGGAGTAAAGAAGATAGAGGAGGCAATGAAACCAATTAAAATGGTTATAGTTCAGTGAGAGAGTTTGCTGAGGAAATAAATACATTTTACTTAAGGTTTGATGAGGGTGATTTTAAGTCAGAAAATGACATTTTTAAAACAACACCTGTCATGTAGTAAATCCGTAAACATTAGTAAGACTCGGGTCAAAGACCTCTTTCAGAGAATTAATACTAAAAAAAGCCCGGGCCCAGATAATATTGGTGGTAGGGTGCTACATACATGTGCTGAACAACTTTCTGAAATATTTAATTGCATTTTTTCAGTCTCTTGCGTTGCAAAGAGTTCCTGAAATCTGGAAGAAATCTGTTTCTATAGCCAAAACTAAGTTTCTGCGGGAGTTAAATTATTTTAGACCTGTTGCCCTTACTTCATTAGTTATGAAGTGTTTCGAGAGAATTATTAAAGGTGAGATTTTATTGTATTCAAAGGATAAATTTGATCCTTTGCAGTTTGCATTTAGACAGAGCAGGGGAGTTGAAGATGTTAATCTTCCACTGTTAAATTACCTGTTTAATCGCCTTGAAAAGCCCAAGACCCATGCCAGATTGTTGTTTCCCTAAACGGCAAAATAAAGTTGAGTCTGAGTCATCTTATCGACTTTCTGACTACTGCACGTATAAACACACACACACACACACACACACACACACACACACACAATTTTAGTCTGAAGCGGGACTTTTAGATCATCTTCTAGCTCTTACTAATCTGTAAACTCTTTGTACCACAAAAAGCTCAACAGAAACTGAATAATTTACTAGTTTAATTCATGACCACACTAAAAACAACTAATAGTCAGGGGTCAGAGTATGCGCGTGTAGATCCCTACAGTGGCACCTGGTGGTCATTCTCAGGTATTGCTCTGGTAATGTAGGGGAGTGTTTCGTTATAGTTATGTGAAGTGTTTTTGCTCTGTTTGTTGTAACATCTGAACATCAGCCTTTCAGGAAGATGACATGTTTGTGAATAACTGTGTTGAGTTGATCATCAAAATAAACAGTAATAAAAGACATCATGCCATCATTTCTGGCTTTCTGTACAAGCCCGGATTGAAACTGGTCGCTCTGTCCACAGTGAGCAGCGCACCGTCTCCATCACAGCACACTGATTCAGCAGATGTGCCAGGAACGCTTCTGAAATGCCTGATCCTCTGATTCTCGTTAGTGGTGGGACCTGTGGGTTTAGAACATTGTCAAACATTGTGAATTCATTTGTTACTGTCACCAAAACAATTATCAGCAAAAATCTCGATTGATCGACAAGTGTCTGACAGTTTACCGTAGTGTTCACTGAGCCGAATGTTCAGGTTGGAGACACTCATCAGCCTGATGCCTCCTCCTGGATGGTTTTCTCCCAGATAGCTGAAGGAAACCGTCTTTCTGTCGTGGGCCTCGTGTTGGTTGCTGACAGCCGTCCAGATGTGAGAGGACCTCGTCACACATTCAGCCTCTTCAGACATTCGGCCACTTCCCGCTGTGGTATTCAGATGTTTGCAGTCAAACCTATATGAGATATTGTGTAATAATGTACAGGATTTAAACGTCAGTATGGGGTTTCTTTAATCCTGGTGGAAAAGAGGATGAGTAACCGGCTGTGCTGCTGAAGGAAATTCAGGATCTTTATGAACACCGGGACTGAGACCTGGCGGAGCGGATCGCACAGCACCATGAGCGATGTCTGTCTGCGATGTGTTGTTCTTTCTGCATCAGGTGGACTGATGGATTTTACACTCACATACTGAGCATCCCTGATACTAATGTGTACTTTTGTTTTACGTTATGTTCTTCATCTTTATTTCTGTTGTGCTGGACTGTGTGAAAGCAGCTCAACACAGATGAAGGTCTAGTAAACAGAGACCGCTTCAGTCCAAATATTACAGGTAAAGTTCAGTGTAATGTCAATGATCAGTGCTGAAACCCAAACACTGAAGAGCAAATTCATCCATTAATAAGCTGCAGTAACAAGTAGACACAATTAAATGACCAAACCAACTGCATTACTGTTGGGTCAGTGTCAACATTGCACTATTTTACAGTATGTTCCATGAGAATGCACACTAGATCTTTCCATGCAGCCGTTTTAGCATTACACACACACACACGCACACACACACGCACACACACACGCACACACACACACGCACACACACACGCACACACACACGCACACACACACACACACACACACACACACACACACACACACACACACACACACACAAAAGACACTGTGAAAGACGTGAACTTGCAGGTTTCCTGATTTTAATCTGCAGGAACAACACAAAACTCATGTGTCAAAGCAAAGCAGCAGATGAGCTCCAATACAGCACTGGAATGATTGTTCGCTAATTTCAAAATGAACCAAACACAAGAAATCATATGAACTGAAGAACTCGGTCCACTTCTGATGGATTTATCATAGGACGAGGGGAAAAACAAACTAAAACTAAAAACAGACACTGCTTCAACACTATTTTTCATCAAGCACTACCATTTACAGCTGTATTAGAGGATATAAGTATGACATCACAAACAAAGACAATCCTAGACGAATGTAAATCAGCATCTGTGTGAAGGAAAACTGCAGCAGTTTCAGCTCTGAGCGCATCGCTTCGCCGTTTCACCACTCGGCCTCACCCACAGCCTTGGAGAACACATAATCCTTCCCTCCGTAACACATCACGCCATCCTTCAGGTAAAACTTCCAGCGGTTTTTACTACGGTGAATCTGTAAGATGCAGAAACAACAAAATAAATGTAGAAAGATTTAAAACGGTTCATCTCTCCTCTTTTTGTCACGTGAGCTTTATTCCTACAGTGTTTTATTCAGCAGTCAGTCGACGCAGCTCAGAGACGAACGGGCAAACTCCAGAATAACAACGCTCACATGATGGAGCAGTTCAGGTCAGCTCAATGTCCACTCAGTGCAGTGATAACATCACTGTTAAACACTACAGAGGCTCTGCTGACCCAAACACAGGCAGGAAACCCAAATAACTCAACTTATATCTGCCGTGCAACTACATCTGACTCAATAATCAACGCTGTAAACTGACAGGATGATCCGTTCTGCTTCTTTACCTTGTCATATTGGCAGACGATGACGTTCTCCGTGTCAAATATCTCCGGGATGTCCTGTTCGCTCACATCATCTCCAGAGTTCAGCGGATCCTGAAAACACAGAGGAAAGAGGTACGGGTCTCTTCTCTTAGAAAGAGCATCTGATGTTGACCGCTGATGAAGCAGAGCATCAGCTTCACAGACACAACCTGTGGAGTTACTTCATCATCATTCAGCTCACTGTCAGTGTGTGTAAATGTAAATCTGAAAACACACTCCGTCCTGCAGAGTTTACATCCAGATGGACAGAAACTCTGAGACGGCAGGATCCGCATCTGCTGATCACACACACACACACACACACACACACACACACACACACACACACACACACACACACACACACACACACACAGTCAGAACACAGTTTACTTCCATTATACTCCCCCACTCCAGTGTTTACCGTGACCCCGGCGGAGACGCTGAGGAAAGGGGGATCAGTGTAAATCCTGAAGCAGCAGACTCCTGAACTGCTGAGTGTTGACTCCTGAGTCATCTGAAGAGAAGCACACGCTACACTAAACAGAGACTAGCTGAGCTGACAAATATCATCTGCTGTTATTGACAACATTCACTGATTTAGGACACACACACACACAAGCGCACACACACACGCACACACACGCACACACACGCACACACGCACACACACGCACGCACACGCACACACACGCACACACACGCACACACACGCACACACACGCACACACACGCACACACACGCACACACACACACACGCACACACACGTGTTGAGCTCAGTCAGAGGCACATCTCTCCTGTATTTTTGTTCTTCTGTATACACATCTGTCCCTTTGCTCAGCAGATTCTGTTCATTTCATCGTTTGTTATTTGCATGATATGGGGAGTGTGTGTGTGTGTGTGTGTGTGTGTGTGTGTGTGTTACCTCTTCCTCCTCCAGCTCCTCTTCCTCATTAGCACTGATCATTCCCAGAAACTCCTTCTCTCCCACGAGCCCCAGCTCCTCCTCATCCTCATCTTCCTCCTCCAGAGAGTCGCTGCTGTCGGCCGCTCCGTCCAGCTGAGGGATGTCCAGCAGCGGACTGAAGCTGAGCTGGGGAAACACCACCATCAGAAGAGCTTCAGAGTCGCGAACAGAAGAAAGCTTCAGTGATTTTTCTCAACTTCTCAGATCAGCATGTTGAGGACAAGCAAATAATGTGAAGTCCATTTAATGCAGAACACACACACACACACACACACACACAGCGCTCTGCATCCACCAACGCTACAGCTCTACTCTGCAGTCAGTAAGAGATCGCCACCTAATGGTACAGTCACAGAGGCACATTTATGTCCTGTTCCCCATCAGGTAACTCTGTACAGAATGCTGGATCACACACACACACACACACACACACACACACACACACACACACACGCGCGCGCGCGCACACACACACACACACACACACACACACACACACACACACACACAGCTGAACTGAGGAAAACACTGTTTGTTCCTCACTGATTTCAGACACTAGCTAGTGTTTCTGGAACAGTATCAGAATGTTTGCAGAAGCTGCTGATCTCGAGAGTTTTTATTGCGAGCTGCCTGATGCTGTCCTCATTTGTTGATAGCTTTATTTAACCTGAC